GATACGTACGTACTAGAAGGATACGTACGATACGAAGCTTCGAAGAAAGGAATGAGGGAACATACCATTCCTACCTACATATCATAATGTACTATTAATACATATGCATCATACGATCCATCATGTCGATGATCGTAAGAGGTCTAAGATACTATTCGAGAATACCTCACAAAGAACAGAGATGTCACGAGTCCGGAATAGAGAATCTCCATGTAGATTCCCTACCAGACCTACATGAGGTTCTATTCGGAACTTCGGAATTCTCGTGAATGCGCTCGGTAATCTTAATCTTATAATTTCAATTTTTATACACACTTAAACACCTACTACTAAGAGTACACATAATCTCGTGCATCCTCTTTCACATCATGTCTCATCCTACCATGGCAGTCCTTCACCACAACACTTTCAAGAAAGAGGCCAAGGCTTGTTGAGGTACAAGGCTGTCGTATTTTTGGGGTATCGCAATTTGCGAGGTATCTATTTGTCTGGTTATCATTCCTACGTCTGTACGTCGTTTCCAATTTGATATCTCGATCTCAGTGATGTTAGTGGTCTAGCCAAAACGTACTGTACGTACCAAAAAATGTCCTCTGTTGAGGTCCGTGTTATTTGTGTGCGAATATTTTTGTTCTGTTTGTTCTACTAGAGCTATTACAAGCGCTGCGCGAGCTCTCCAGAGTTATAACATGCCGTTTGTACGTCTTGGGTTCGGTCAAAACCGAAGGACTGCAACGGAAGCAACCTAATACGGGAGGTGGGGGATTAGATTGGATAGGCAACACAGAAACGATCATCGCAACGCCAACGGGGACCGCGGCTGCCGATCGAAACAGCCGGAACAACAGCGGGAGCACTATGCCCACTGCCAGCACCGATGCCGCGGTGATAGAGGGGAACAACGAAAACGGTTCAGTAGTTCCCGTCGGCGTTCACGGCGTCCGCCTAAAGCGTTTCGAGAGGGTGGTGGCTAGGCTCTTGTCGTCAGGGGTCGAGCCCTTTTACGTTCTCCTACCGCCCCCACCAACTGCTACCGTTCCGCCAGAGGCGACGGGGAAGAGCCGCGACAAAGGCCACAACGACGGCGGCGGTAGCGATGACTGGCTCTTTTCCTCCCTGCCCCATTCGGCAAGGGTGGTGGGGAACCACCCGAACCACAAGCGCGCACAGAAAAAAGAAGGACAGCTCCGATCGATGCTCCGGTGCATCCTTCGACTGGTCCCGCCATCTACAGCATCGGTGAAGAAGAGACCGATCACGATTGTTGATTTTGGTGGGGGTTCGGGGCACCTGGGGATACCCCTGGCTCTGTTGCTCCCACACTGCCGCATCATCGTGGTAGATTTCAACGAACGATCCATTGATCTCTTGCACCAAAAAGCTGCGTGCGTCATAAAGGAGTTGGAAGAATCCGGGTGTGTTGATTCCCGGGTACAAGAACAACAACCCTGCGAGACGACCACAACAACGGGGGACTCGTCCCACAGTGTTGTTCCCCCTCCCATACTGCGGTGCTGCGGGAAAAGCATCGGATATCAACCGCTCGGGAACCTATTCACCTTCGCCGGTCCAGTCGAGGGCTTTGTTGGAGAGGGCTTCGACGTTGCGATCGCACTTCACCTCTGCGGGCAGGCCACCGACGTCTGCCTCCGAGCGGCGGTCCTAAATGCCGCGGCGGCCATCGTTGTGGCCCCGTGCTGCGTTGGAAAGCTCTCGGCCGGCGCATTCAATCCCGACATCTACCACGCGACGGGACAAAACGATGCGACCGTTCGCTACCCCCAGTCTGCCCTGTTTTGCCGGCTCCTGGGAACCGATAGCGGCGGCAACGACGGGGACAACGGCGAAAACATGAGAAGCGGGGACGACTGGAACGCACTAGCCAAGGCTGCTGACTACAGCAACGAGCAGGAGTTTCGAACGAGCCGGAACGCGAGCCGGCGGACGGCCAAGGCCCTACTGGAAACGGACCGGAGGTTGTTTCTTGAATCCCACCACTATCGGACCGCTCTGACGAAAATGGAACCTTTGGAGGTCACGCCGAAAAACGATATCCTGGTGGCCTGGAAACCGGGGGCCTATGAAGAAGGTGAAGGCTTGAACGATCCAGGGGCCTACTTCTGCACCCCGGACGCGGAATGCCTAGCCGACGTTTGCGTTGCAAAATCGCACTTGTTGGGGACACACTCTCCATCGCCAACGGCCCTTGCTCCCAGTGGTACAGCCCCCCCCGCTTCTTCCTCGGGAAACACTGTCGGAAAATTCTCAAAGAGTGTTCGGAACGACTGGACGGAGGCAGAGGAGGAGGAAGTCAAAAATACCATTGCCGACTTTTTGGTGCGCACCGGCAAGGCTGGCCCCGACCAGAGAAGCGGTAGCCACCAACACAACGAGGTCCTGGTCTTCCCCACACGCATGGGTGGCCGAAAACGCAAGCTGATTCACTACGTTGCTGAAAGAATGAATCTTGCGCACTGGGGCCAGGGGAAGAAGGTGTCGGAGAAAACGGTCGCCGTTGCCAGGCGTCGGAAGGAGGCGGGGAAGGGAATCGCGTCGGTTTGACCCTGATCTGGTTCGCCCTCCCATGGATCTGCGCTGGACAGCCCCCAACCCTTAATACAGCACGAGTGCGGTACAGTCTATAAGAGATATTTCTTTCTCCACTAACCTATCGTTCTTCTGTATTGTATCAAATACGGTATCGCATGATATGACACGGACCAACTTCTTTGATTCACTCGAAATTTTATTTGGATACGTGCTGAATAATGTTGTCTCTCTCTCACACAGACACACGCATACTATCCATCAGGCCCCCCATCCCTGGTAACCTTCGAGTGGCTTGTACTCGGCTACCCAGGAACGGAACTGCTTCGCGTTCAGTCGCGCAGATTTAGAACTTGCGTATTGGAACATTTTTAGCCACGACGGTGACTTCAATATCGGAAACCACCAGAGTCCTTTTTCATGTTATGAAGACAGAAGGAAAGCGATAAAAATTAGAAACTGCCGTCGAAAAATCTACCATGGAAAACCCAACGAAAACGGATCGTATGTTGTACTCTGCTCACGCTTACCAGCCTGGTGGTATAGAAAATTTCTCATATCGTCCCTATCCAAAGCATCGTAGAATGCCTCCACTAATGGATCAGCCGTGACGTGTTTCGAGCTAAAATTTCTGATCTGTAGACCCTGCATCGACCTTGCCCGGCTAAGGGCAACATATGCCTGCCCACTGGTGAAACACCCCTGCAAGTCGCACACAACGTAGTCCAGGGTTGAGCCCTGGCTCTTGTGGATTGTTAGAGCCCACGCCAATCGAAGTGGGATCTGTTCGCGCATGCACTTCCCTTGTCGATAAAGAGAACGTTCAAATATTTCGGGAACAATTATGCGACTCACGTTGTTGACAAAACGGACCAGTGGATATCTGTCAAAGCGACAAATTCTCCTACAGGAGATGCGAATCAAAGGGACAAAGACGGATGGAACGAAAGGTTTAGAAACTACCACGTATTGGAGCTCGAACATCTGTCACAACGCAAAAGGAAATGGAATAGCAAATGCGGTAGAGCAGGAACGACTTTTCATTTGCCGCTATCTTTTCGTACCAGATTTTCCCCTCGAAATCTGTTTTTTGGTTGAACTTGAGGTCCTCAAAGCGGCAGCCGGGAAATTTGTCTATGTCGCCAGGACCGATCAATTGCTCTTGTCCGTGGATGATGTCTTTCACCACGGGACAGAGAGCGAACTTTTCCACAACTCCACGGCTGCCGTTCACTAGGCCTTGCTTGATATCTAGATTTTGCAACAGCATGACCTGAGCTCCAACTTTGAGGTGGATCTGTTTCGATGCGGAGCAATCTTTGAAGAAGGCATTGTTCTTTAGCAGCCGACCAACGGCGTCTCGGCCAGCCAAATTTACATCACTGCTGATGGATGTATGATCGGTTGCTTCAAACGTTTTCCCCCGGTCACTTAGCTTTCTAAGATTTTCAAAGTTCTCTTTGTCCACGTTCCGATTCGTGCAATACAAAATTGTTGGTTTGATGCCTTCCGGGATTTCGAGCCCTTCACGGTCGTCGAGTGGAGACAAACAAATGTCAACGAGAGTCTTCACTCGCCGGCTGTCTGCTCTTGCTTCACGAATGTCCATCAGAGCCAACTGGAAGTCTTTGTTTTTCTGCCGATACACCTTCCGCAAGTGCACGTGATGGAAATCAGCCTCTCTGTGGAAAGTACAATAACAAGAAAATTCAAAACAAATGACACGAGTTGTTAAGTGAAGTAAAGACGCAACTGATTTTTGTGGTTTCTCATTCAAACCGTAAGAATGACAATGACTTCTACAATTGCAGAGAAATAGTTGGATCGCACCTCCATAGCACCGTCTGAAAAGCGTAGGCAGCGCATTCGCTGACACCCATCAGACAATCCGCTCCTTTCGATTCCATTTCAAAACAGGATAGCAATGACTGTTAGCGTGAATTCAATGAGAACGAGGCCAAAAATCGACGCTTGAAAAAATCGAAAACCAGCAAAACGAGTTGTGCTTGCCGTGCCGTACCTGGTTGATCTGGTTCAAAGGCTTTATTTCGCAACGAATGTCCCCGACCAGGAATAGGACCTAGCTGTGCAAAATCACCGACAAAGATGAGCTGAATTCCACCAAACGGCTAAACCAGAGCGATTGATTCGGTATCGATTTAAAATACACGGTGAGTAGATGGTAACGGTGGCGTTGTGTTCAGTTGTGAATCAGTAGACTTTTGCGGATAGTGACCAAACGCAAATACAAATGCAAATGTATGCCGATAGAAAATGACGACAACAACAAGGAAAATGGAAAGGCAAAGCAAAGGACTGTGCTAAGCTCACCTCTAAGGGTTTCTTCCGTGCCTTCCGAACGTAGACGTCCATCCAATCCAAGAAATCAGCCCCGAGCATTCCAATCTCGTCCAGCACAAGAACCTCAATCTTCTTCCATTTCTTGGCGGTCCACGGCGACAGCATTTTTTCGAAGCCAGAGGCTGTTTGCGGAACTCCAACGCCCGCCAGCGAATGAACGGTTTGCGCTCCTAGCTCCGGGCCGAGGTTCACCGCAGCAACTCCGGTTGGCGCCGCAACCGCTACTTCCTTCCGCATGCATTTGGCGTCTTCCACGATTCTCTTGTGAGCGAAATAACGATGGTTTGGGTGTACAAAGAAAAGAAGTAGAGGAAATAGAAACGAGTTAAAAACAAAGGGGGAAATGGAAGGCAAAGAAAACCCGAGAATTTGCAACTAAGCTGCTACTTGATTCGATTCGTTGGTTCGCGTTTGGGTTTGGATTCCTGGATGTTTGGCACGGACCTTTGTCACGAGCGATTTTCCCGTACCGGCCACGCCGGTCAGAAAGACGTTCTTTCCGATCAACGCCGCATCGATGGCCCTTTGCTGGACGATATCGAATTCCGGGCACGCCTGGCACTGTACGTCTGGAGTGGAAGTAGATGTGTTCTCGTCTCTGTTCTCGCCGTGTTTTGAGTTTTCGCCTTTCGCTGTTGGTTTTGAGTCGTGTTGTTGCCGGTCGTAGAAGTCGAATTCATCGTCGTCCAAGACAGAGATCGACGATGATTCCGAGTTTGAGTTCGACCGGGGTCGCCGGCGCTTTTGGCGTTTTCGGCTCGGTGAAACTACAAGCTCTTTCTGCTGGAAATACGACGAACATGCGGCAGCTGCCGGAGGCAGCGAGGATTCGGGACTGCTATCAATCGATATGACGGGCTGAGTAGAATGGATGTAGGGGTGCTGTTGATGTTGATGTTGATCTTGATGCTGCTGTTGATAACGGCTATGATCTGTTGCATGCACATGCTCTCTTTGATGTTCGTTGTTCGGCCAAAGTCTTTGTGAAACGGCTTCAGAGTTTGTATTTATTAGATTACTGGTCGGTGTCACGCGGACGGTGGGATGCGAGCTACTCCCTTTGCCGCTGCTGCTCTTGTTGCTGTTGTTCGCGGCTTGCTTCGCGAGTGAGTACTCGTATAGGATCGGCGATCGATCCCGGGCCGAAATCCATCCGCCAGACTCGATCGTCGGGACAAAGCCGCGCTCGTGCAAAAAGAGTTCGGCGTCGCTAACCTTGTCGAATCTCTGGAATTTGACACCGGCATCGGAGGCCAGCGACGACAACGACGCCCGGCGGCTCTCGACGATCTGTTGTTTTGCTTCGTCGTACGAGAAGTATATGCCCGACGCAACCGCAGCACAGGACGACGAGGAGGACGAGCACTGGTTTGCAACGGCGTAGCAGCCGCCGCCTCTTCGGCGCTTTGCGTAGGGATTGTGATGCGTATGTGCGTGCGTGATGCGTTCCGATGCACTCATTGTGGAAAAGGTCTTCGTTGGGAGGAAACAAAAAACTCCCAGTGTTTCCGAATGGGTCAAATCGTTGTCCTATTGACCGAGGGTTGTTGTCCAATAATACAGTATTGTGTTTAAATTGCGTGGGGTTGCTTTTGTTCGCGGATGAGGTACCGTGCAGGTACGTACCGGTACGGCACCGACGATATGGGACAGCAGCTGTAAAACGCAAAACAATAGGGTACCGTTCCGTACAGTAAATAAAGTAAACTACGATGATGATCACAGTAGTATTACAGGGTATCGTAAGGTTACAAGTATGGACGGGTACGATACTTTACGGCAATGTACTCCACATTTTTTGTTTCAAGTCGCGCCTGCAGGCTCATCAATCTATCCCGCCAAAAGAGAGACGGGAATGATCGTTCAGGACAAACTTCGTTCCACCATTTCTTAAAACCTTAAACTTAGCCCTATTGACAACCAAATCTATCCCAAGTCTGTTAATCGTTGCTGAGGTACGTACAGTACCGTGCGGTATGGTATTAGTACGTCAGGGGTCATAATTTAGACCCCTGCTGTACGTACAGTACGGCAGGGCTCATAATTTAGAGGGGAGCGCAACGCGTCGAAACTCATATTCCACATGCGGTCCAAATTTCCAAAAAGTCACCGAAGGAATTTTTTTCATTCTCATTTTTACTGCATAATACTAGTAAAACTATCCAACCTTTAAGCAGTTACAGCTTTATCAAAAATACTACTATTTTAATTTTTGAGTAGCCAGTCTAGTCCAGTTTTTTATGCTGATTCTGAATATACCATTTTCTTGGATATTAAATTGATATTTGTGGTACTACTTTACTATTGAAAAATGAACATAATTTTCCACAGTAGTACTAGTAGTACTAGTACTACTACTACTACTACTACTGGTACTAAGGTGAAACAGATCATAGTAGTAGGAGTAGTGCTACTACTAGTAGTAGTGCTAGTAGTAGTACTAGTACCAGGTACTAGTAGTAGTAGTAGTAGTAGTAGCATTCAGCCAAGATGCTTTGCAGTACTAGTAGTACTACTACTAGTAGTTACTACTACTAGTACTACTGGTACTACTAAGGTGAAACATAGTAGCAGCGGGTGCTACTACTAGTAGTAGCATGCAGCCAAGATGCTTGTTTGTTGCACTACTAGTACTAGTACTACTACTAGTAATAGTAGTAGGAGTAGTGGTGGTGGTGGTGGTGGTACTCATAGAGTAGTAGTTGTACTACCAGCTACTACTACTACTAGTAGTACTAGTAAAACTACTACTAGTACTACTGTGGATGCAAAATTATGTTTAAGATTATCTCGTTCCAACGTGAGCTTTCAGTAGATCTGATTAGATCCTGTGTAGCTCTCGGTATTAAATCTACACAGGATTCTTTATTATTCTGATCTACTGACATCTTTGTTCTTTGCGAGGTAAACTATTTCTGATATCACGGACCTCTTATGATCTTCAGACCTCTTACAATGGATCCTATGATACATATATATGAACCGTACCTTACGATAGGTACGTAGGAATGGTATGTTCTTTCATTCCTTTCTTCCGAAGCTTTGTATCGTACGTACACTTCAGATACAGTATGTACGTATATTTCTTTTGCAGTACGTACGTATCTGTTGCATTATCCCGGACAGGAATATTGCTTCAATATTGCAATATTACTTACTACTAGATGGTAGCGATCTTCAATGTTTTCAACAGAGAGTTCCTCCTTAGCTGCTGGGTTTCCAGGAGTGGCATTTGCATTAGTTCCTTTGTGAGGAACAAGCTTCCTGATATTGACAGTCTCACGTACGTTGTCACTTCTCTGTAACACTACGGTTCCATTTGTGTTGATTTCCACTATAGGATAGGGAC